GGCGGGGCGCGCGCGGCCGACGTGGCAGCCGCAGGGGCATGCGCCGTCGGTGGCCATCTTGGAGGCGGGGACGCGCGGAGGTGAGCTGCTCGCTGCACTTTCCTTGTCTTCTCCCCGCCGTAGTTCTACGGCCCGACCTCCCTGCGTCCCACTTTGGAGCTACCACGCAGGCTCTCTGCAGGGACCCCAGGTGAGCGTCAGTTGGCTGCGGTACCGGAGCATGAGGGCCGTGGCATGGCACGCGACACCAGAGCCGGACCCCGAGGGACGCAGTCCCTGGAAGGTGGGCGGGCCGGCCGGAGCCGCGGGATGCAGGCGTCGGTTCTGAGCCCCTAGATCGCGTGGCCCGGGCGCGGGCTGGGGGAGCAAGCGGGGTGCAGCAGGCCGGGGCGCTCATCCCCAAGCAGGCAGTCCCCGCCGGGAATTGCACGGCGGGGGCGGTCCCGGAGTCTCATCCCTGCGCTTTGCTCCCGTCCAAGGGCCGAGACCGGAGCTCCTGGCCCTCTGGCCCCAGCTTCAGCGCGCCGGCCTCCGGAGAGACTGGCGGCGAGCGCTCGCGGACCTTAGCCCAGCCCCGTCTGGCCTGGAGACGTGGCAGAGCCTGCGGGGAGGCCGCTGTCTCCGGGAAGCGGATTTCGGCCTCTCTGGCCCTGCGAAGGTCCTGGAGACAAATCACCAAACAGGGACGGGCAAGGAAAGGAAGCTTATTTTCCTGGATGTGACCCCATCCGTGCTTAGCGCCACTCCACGGGGCTTTTGCACTCTTGTCTCTTTGTTCGGTTTCCGGACCTGCTTCAGGCATTTTTTCAGGATAGCTCATTTCCAAGGTTGACGGAATTCATATCCAGTGGGGTTTTTGTCATTGAGAGTAGTTATTTTGAGAGACAGCGTGTATATTTCTGCCATCATGACACAGCGTGGCATTCCAGTCTTTCTTATGTGCAGCCCCTGTGATTCAATGAACATTTATGGAATTTTATTTTGGGATCAGAGCTGAGAATGAAGAAACAAAACTCAGGCTCTAACTTGCACTTAATGTCTGATAGTAGGGACAATCTTGTGGCACTAGTACATCAACAATAATAATTGCTTCTAATGCTTTAAAGGTTATCAAAGCTCTGTTCTTCGTTCCTTTGCTTGTATACTTATAAATAGCCATTCAAAAAAAAAATTTTTTTTTTTTAATCAGAAAAACCAGAGCACAGGCAAGTTGGAAGAGCAGAGTCTGGCTAGAGACTGAGTACTCAGTTTCCAAACCATTTCGATCACTTTTTCTTTAATGTTGATATACTAATACTATGTTTTGGTAACAAGACTTGTGCCCTTTTACCAATTCTGACGCTTCAGTCTTGTTTTATCATACTAGGGCTTTCTTTAGTAGTAGGCATTATATTGATGTATGCAAAATTTACCCCAATATTGTCACTATGCCAATTCTCAAATAAAAACTTTTAAAGACTGAAAGAAATTGGTTATTTACTCCATGTTATGGCTTTGTATTCATTGTACAAGTTCTTTTGCCAACACATTTGTTAATGTTAGGGATCAGGATTTTCTTTAAACATGACTTTTACTAGCCATTGTAAGGATTAGGAATCATCTGTATTAGAAAGATAAATGACCAATTTAAAAAATGAGATGAAGAAAAGAGGTAGCTTTAGTGGGATGTGATACAATTCCCAGAGGGGTATTTCTGTCTCAGATTATCTACCTTTGATATGTAGGCCCTGAGCAAAAGGACAGCCAGCCTCCCTGGATTCCTGTCCTCTACTTATCTTTCCTCTACATTTGCAGCAAACTTTTGAAATATTGTGCCTATTAGTCTCGCTTCCCACTTCTCAGTCCAATTCAAGCTTGTTTCTATCCCCACTCCTTTCATAGAAACCATTCTTACTAAGTTCATCTCTGGCTTGGCAAATCCACTGAACTTTTCAAGTAGTCTGCTATTTGGCTTTGTTACAGCATTTGATATTATTGCCCAATCGTACTGCAAAACACTGGCTTTTGGACGCCACAGTGTCCTGGTTTTCTTACTGTCTTTCTACTAAGCTCTCATTCTCTGCAAGCTTGTCTTCTACCTGACTAAACCAAAGATTGTTTTTAATTCATTTTCTATTTTCTCTTGGTATTCATTTTAGATAATTTTGTCTTAGAGCATGACTTTAGAGACTATCAGTACACTGATGACACCCACATTTATGTGGTTTCTAGACTCTAGACCAAGTCAATGTCTCTACTTGGATGTTTGTTGCAAGGAGCTTAAACTCAACATGTCAAAGACTGACACTTTATGATTCCCCCCTCCCTGCAAAAAAAAGACAACCTCATACATCACCTTGACCTCTTGCAGTGTTCCCTGTCTCTGCATGTGGTACCTCCATCTATCCAGTTGTACAAGTTATGTCTTTCCCTTTCCCTACCTCCATATCCAGTTAGTCACTGAGCTTTACTACCTAAACATTTCTTAAATCTATTTACTCTTCATATCTACTTATTGTCACTTTAGGCCAGAGTTTCTCAACCTTGACACTATTGACATTTGGAACCAGTTAGTTCTTGTGTGTAGAGTGTAAAATTGAAAGATTTAGCAGTATCCCTAGCCTCTACCTACTAGATGCCAGTAGTACCCCTCTGGTTGTGACAACCAAAAATATCTCCAGACATTGCCAAGTGACCCCTTGGGGGCATAATTACTCCCTTCTCCTTATGAGGATCGCTAGTTTAGGTTCTTGCCACTTCCTATTTAAACTGTATTCGGTATCTTCTTTAGTGGTGTCTATCTGCTCTGTCTGCCCAATATCCCATTCTTCATATTTTGTCAAAGGAATCTTTTCAGAAAACAAATATGAATTGCTAATAACTGAAACCAGCCTAAATGTTCTTCAGCAGGTAAGTGGATAAACTGGTGTATCTATACAATGGAATACTATTCAGTAATAAAAAAGAACCAACTATTGATGTATGTAAGAACTTGAATGAATCTCAAGAGCATTATCCTGAGTGACAAAAGGTTACATGTTGTGTGATTCTGTTTATGTAACAGAAAATGATCAAGAATAAATTAGTGGTTGCCAGCATTTGTTTGGTGGGAAGGTGGCCAAAGGAAGTTTCTTTGGAATGTAGTGGTCTGTATCCTGATCTGGTGGTTATAGTTTGTGCGTATAATGAAACTTCATAGACCTGCACACACAAAAGTGGATGTAAAAATAGGTGAAATTCAAATAAAGTCTATAGTTAATGGTATTTATATCAATATCATCATACTGTAGTTACGTAAAATGCTGTTTTTGAGAAAAGTTAGTTCAGGGTACTCAAGAACTCTATTTTTGCATCTTCTTGTAAATCTAAAATTACTTCCAAAAAGTTAAAACAAAATACAGATATGCTATTGCCAGCTTGAATGTCCTACTATGACATTCTGTTCTTAAAAAAACAACTCAGTTCCTTGCTTCAGCTCATAAGGCTCATCATCACCTAGGCTCTGCCTATCTGGTCCTTACTCTCCTTTTCTGTTTTTTTGTCACAAGGGTTTTCTTGAATGTATCTTGTTCCTCCAATTTACAGGGCCTTTATACTTGCTCTATATTCACTTTTTCTGGAATCTGCCTTCCTTTTTTCTTGCCTAATTAAGTTCTCCTTATCCTTTAGATCTCAGTTTGTTTGTTACTACTTTGCGGAACCAATTCCTGACCTCTATGTCAAAATCGTATTCCTGCCAAATAACTGTTCTCACCTTCAGAGCATGTAATTCAGGCTACAATTTGTTGTATATTGCTATTATTATTTGTTTCTTGTACTAGACTATAAGTATCCTATTTGTTTTTGCTAACCATTGTATTTCCAGAGGTACCAGTATAGTGCTTAGCAAGCAACTAACCTTCACTGAATTTTGTTAAAAGAATAAAAACATTAAAAACAAATTAAGCATATTTAGAAATTGATTTTATACTTGAGATGGACTTGAGAGTTTGTAATTTTTAAGGAAATTTCCCCATATTTTGTAATCCATTGTGATCTATTAGGACCCTGCTATAGTTAACTTTTCTAAAGCCTGAGTCATATACTTTATCTGTTATTGGGTACATTTTAAAATAGGAACTAGGAAACTAGCAACTAGTTCCATTCATCATACTTTGAAACTAGGAACTAGAACTACAAAGATTGTGAATTAATGCATTTATCAAATTGAGCACATTTTAATTTTTTTAAATGCTAACGGGTAACTAACAGAAAGAGCTTTATGAGGAAAGAGGAACGGTCTCAAAAATGTATTAAATATTTTATTTTTATTTTAAATGTGGTAGTGACTGAAATCTAGACATAACTAACTATAATATGATTCATGTGACAAATCAAATTAGTAATTTACTATTTGAACTATATTAGACAATAATATATAGTTAACATAAAACTGTTTCCAGTTATAAAGTATCTGTATGGAAATGTCAAAGATTGTTTGATGTTAAATATTCTCACAGAGCCGGTCATGATGACTTATGCATGTCATCCCAGCACTTTGAGAGGCTGAAGCGGAAGGATTGCTTGAGCTCAGCATTTGAGACGAACCTAGACAATATAGTAAGACTATATTTCTCTACAGAAATTTTTTTTAAAAATTAGTGCTAGCTACTAGGGATGCTGAGGCAGGAGGATCGTTTGAGCCCACGAAGTTCAAGGCTGTGGTGAGCTATGATTGTGCTACAGCACTCCATTCTGGATGACAGAGACACTGACTCAAAAAAAAAATAAGTATTTTCATACATAGTTTTCTTAGGAATTTTGATAAACCTTCACCTGGAAATAAGCTGAATTATAAATAGTAAAGGCAGACATTTGTCTCTTGACAATTATTCTTTCAATTGTTCTCTATGCAATCTTTATAAATTTTTGGTCACTGTGTAATATTTATTACATGTTTATGTTTTTACAGTATACCATCATTGAAGAAAAATGATGGAAGAGAGTGGAATAGAGACAACACCACCTGGAACTCCTCCACCAAATCCTGCAGGACTGGCTGCTACTACTATGTCTTCTACCCCAGTTCCGTTAGGTACATGAAGTTGTCTAACATCTGTATGTTTTGAGGATAGTGAAGATACTATCATCTTTTCTCAGAGTCAATTTAAAAAAGAATGCATGTTTTAAAACTTTTCTAATCTTTTTCAGGACAAACATTTTAATTTAAATGATAGAAAAAATAGTCTTTATATTTAAAGTAAGGAAACAGTATTTTGCTTTTGGTAGACTTGTTCTTTATGGTCATAATGATGATAAACCATCTTTCTTTATTTGTTAGGCAAAAATATCCTCAAAGTCATGTGTTAGCTTTGTCTAATGTTGTATGACTTTGTGGTGATTGATATTTTTATAGGCTTTTGTGTTCAAACCAGGTATGAAAAATGGCTTTATTTTATTAAAACCACATGAAAACAAACAAACCAAAAACAAAGATGAACAACAATGCCTTAAGTTAATTTCCTATAGCTTCTTTTACTTATGGGAGTTGAAAGTCATTTGCCCTCATTTGTTGCATGTTTTAAATTACATATTTTAAATTAATTCTTAGGATATGCTCTGTTAAATTTAAAAATTTTGAGAAGAAAGTAATGTGATAGTTTGAAAGCTAACTAAAAAGTATTTCCGATGTTGTGTTTTTATCCTCTCCACTCTTTTCTAGCTGCAACCAGTTCTTTCTCTTCTCCAAATGTTTCCTCTATGGAGTCCTTGCCACCACAGGCATATTCTACTCCTCAGCCACCCCCTCCTCCTGTGAGGCCTTCAGCACCATTACCTTTTGTGCCTCCTGCACCAGTTCCTTCTGTTCCACCACTTGTTACTTCAATACCACCTCCTGTTTCTCCGTTGACAGCTGCTGCCTTCAGTAATCCCCCTTTAACTCACTTCCCACCTTCAACTTCTGCCCCAAGCACTCTTTTATCCACACCCCCTTCGGGTCCTCCTACATCAGGATTTTCTGTTGGTTCAAGTTATGACATTACAAGGGGACATGCAGGACGGGCTCCCCAGACACCGCTGATGCCGTCATTTTCTGCACCTTCAGGAACAGGTAATTCTCTTAATAACGCTTTGAACAATACATGACTATTTGTATGTTTTATTCTTTTAAAAATAATAGCTTACTGAGATATAACTCACATACTGTACCGTTGGCCCAATTTTAAGTGTTCAATTCTGAAGTTGTTAGTTTATTTACAGAGTTGTGCATCCATTGTTAACAGTCAATTTTATAATCTTTTCATCACCCTAAAATAAAACTCCTTGCTGGGGATGATGACTCACACCTATAATCCCAGCACTTTGGGAGGCTGAGGTGAGAGAATTGCTTGAGTCCAGGAGTTCAAGACCAGCCTGGGCAACATAGCGAGACCCTGTCTCTACAAAAAAAAAAAAAAAATTAGCCAGATGTCAGGGACTACTACCAAGTAGTCCCAGCTACTTGGTAAATTGAGGCAAAAGGATCGACTGAACCAAGGAGTTGGAGGCTGCAGTGAGCTGTGATTGTGCTACTGCACTGCAGCCTGGGCAACAGAGTAAGAACTCAACTCAAAAAAGAAAAAAGAAAAAAAAAGGAAAGAAATCCCATACCTGATAGCAGTCAGTCTTCACCTCCCCTCAGTCCTCACAGCCCTGTGCAGCTGCTAATCTACTTTTTGTGTTTATGTATTTACTTATTCTGGGCATTTCATTTAAATGGATTTATATAATATGTTCTAGCGTTTGTTAGTACTTCATTCTTTTCATGGCTTAATAATATTCCATTGTATAAGTGTAGCACATTTTGTTTATTTAATTCATCTGTTAATTTGGGGTTTATGAATGTATGTGTACAAGTTTTTGTGTAGACGTGTTTTCATTTCTGTTGGGTGTGGAATTGCTGACTTACATGGTAACTCTATGCCAAACTGTTTTCTAAAGCGGGTGTGCCATTTTACCTTCTCATCAACAGTGTTTGGAGTTTCCAGTTTCTCTGCATTAATGTTTAAACTCATTTTTTAAAATTTCCAAAGTTACTGTTCTCTTGTTTTTGCTGTTTAACTTCCTAAAATAAAACTGGTGTAACTTAGTATATGATTTTTATATGATATACTACTTTATATATGATTAGTATATGAGATGTGCTAAAAATTTTGTGCTTTTATAGAGAAATGTCAGGGTGAAGTCTGAGAGTTTTTTTAAAGCTTTATTTTAAAAATTATCCAGGGAGTAGTGTTTTTTTAGCCAGCTAAAAATTCCAAACTAAATAAAAACTCACGTGTGACAAGTTGATGATACTGGGTCATTTCCTTTCCTAGGTCAGTTACATTTACATTTTTTGCTTCTGTGGAATGATTGCTGCAAGTCAGTTATCACAACTCTATCCTTATCTTCTGCTTGTTTTTTCTCATTTTAGGGAAAAGAAGCAACTTTGCTGTGATTTTTTTTTTTATTTTTGTTATCCAACTTTGCTTATCTACCTTTATGAATAAAGAGAATTGCAGAGCACAAGTAATATACCTTTGCCAATTCTTATGTGAATTTTTTGAAGTTAAAACGAAGTATATTGGGAGTATGTGCAGTAATTGTTATATGCTTTTATATGATAGGCTTAGGTGTTCAATTATTTTTATGGACTAAAGAGACTAGAACTGTAGCTGTTCACATCAAAGTGCTAAAGAGGACAAACCTGAACTTTTTTTTTTTTTTTTTTTTTTGAGTTGGAGTCTCACTCTGTCACCCAGACCGAAGTGCAGTGGCTGCTCCCGGCCACCGCAGCCTCGACCTGCTGGGCTCCGGTGATCCTTCCGAGTAGCCGGAATTACGGGCATGCGCTACCACGCCTGGCTGATTTTTTGATTTATTGTAGAGATGAGGTCTCGCCGCCTAGGCGGGTCTCGAACCCACGGGCTCAGGCAATCCACTCACCTCAGCCTCCCAAAGGCGCCAGATTACAGGCTGAGCCACCAAGCCCAGCTTGAACTTTTTTGTGTATATTTTTGTCCATTTTCAGGACACTTGGTGTGAGCCTATGTAAAGGGAAGAAATTTCTCTTTTGGAATTCTATTTAATTTGCATTTTATAAAGGTTCAGGTTATTCTTTGAGTTTATAATTTAGTTTTGAAATACCTGAGTATGTAGTTACATTACTAAAGCTTTTTGAGCTACACATTTCATATGTTGTATCTTTTTTATAGGAAAAAGTTTATAGAGTAAATTATACTTATTAAAATTTTTGCCATTGTCCAGGTCTTTTACCAGCTCCTATTACGCAGCAAACAAGTTTAACATCTCTGGCACAGGGAACTGGAACCACATCAGCCATTACTTTTCCCGAGGAGCAAGAAGATCCTAGAATTAGTAGAGGTCAGGATGATGTGTCTGCTGGTGGAATTTGGGGCTTTATTAAGGTAAGAGGTATTTACTTTAAAAATTATGTTTAATTTTCTATAGATGTCCATTAGGGAAAATTTTGAAAATACAGAATGGCATAAGGAAAAAGTAAAAATCCTTTTGTTATCAGTTTTCTGTAGTTGTTCTAAATCTGTTGTCTGTGCATTTCTGTGTAGATATATCTATTCTTTTAATAAAAATCAAATTGCTATAGTGACATATGGATACAATTTTGTGTTTTCTGTTTGTCTTTACTTAGCATGTATCATGAGCATCTTCTTAGCCATAAAATATTTTTCAGAAATTATTTTGGTTTTTCTTATGGCTGTTTTACCATACATGCTCTTGCATTTATTTCCTATGTTTTATTTTGCTAATCTGCTGTTCACATTTTCTAATTGTAATTATTTTTAAACATTAATTTTAATTAATGAGTAAAAATTGTATATATTTATCATGTACAACATTATGTGTTGAAATTTGTATATATTCTAGAATGGTTAAATTGAGCTAATTAACATATACAGTACCTAACATAGTTGTCATTATTTGTGATGAGAAAACTTAAAATCTATTGGTGGTTTCAAGAATATAATACATTGTTATTAACTATAGTCACCATGTTGTACACTAGATCTCTTCAAATTGTAACTCTTTTTCTTTTCTTTTCTTTTTTTTTTTGAGTTGTATTCTTACTCTGTGCAGTGGCACATTTCTGGTTCACTGCAGCCTTGACTTCCTAGGCTTGGGCAATCCTTCTGCCTCAGCCTACCACGTAGCTGGGACTACAGGTGTGCTCCACCACTTCTGGCTAATTTTTAAATTATTTATAGAGATGAGGTCTCGATATGTTGCCTAGGCTGGTTTCGAACTCCTGGTCTCACACAGTCCTCTCACCTAGGCCTCTCTAAGTGCTGAGATTACAGGCATGAGCCACTGCACCCAGGAACTAATTGTAATTCTTATCTAAAACTATGATGGGCACTCTTGTATGTAAGTCTCTGTGGGCATGTTTCTTTCGTTAGGATTAATTTGAGTGAACTGTTTAAAAACATTGTTAATGCAAAGTGCTCTCTAGAAAGGTTTTATCAAAATACACTGTTATAACATTTTTCACTTGGCAGTATTGGTTATTAATTTGAAATATAATATTTTCTGATTTGATAGAAAAATAATACCACATTTTAATTTGCTTTTCTTTACTGTTGAGTTTGAATATTTTTATGTGAATTTTAGGCATTTATATTTTTCTTTTGCTAATGCTCTATTCATGTTCTTTGCCCAGTTTTAAGTTGAGATGATTTTCTTAATGAATTTCTAGAGCTCTTTTTTTATTTTTATTTTTTGAATTGGGGTCTCGCTCTGTTGCCCAGACTGGAGTGCAGTGGCCGCTCCCGGCCACCGCAGCCTCAACCTGCTGGGCTCCGGCGATCCTTCCGCCTCAGCCTTCCAAGTAGCTGGAACTACAGGCGCGCGCTACCACGCCTGGCTAATTTTTCTGATTTTATTGTAGAGATGAGGTCTCGCCAAGTTGCCCAGGTGGGTCTCGAACCTGCGGGCTCATGCAATTCACTCACTTCAGCCTCCCAAAGGCGTGGATTACAGGCTGAGCCACTGAGCCCAGAGAATGTTTTACTACATGCTATCATGTGTTGAATTTTTAGTTTTTACTTTAATTATGCTTTTTTGATACAAAGGTTCCTAAATTTCAGGAGTAATTTCTATCAGTCTTTCTTGATTTTTTGTATTTAGGCTAAAGGCCTTTTCCTTTTCCTACCAGAGTATGTAATAATTTTTTAAAAATGATTTTTCTACTTATCTTGTTTCTTTTTTTTTAACACTTAACAGTTTAATATAGCTGATTCTTACTATACTATAGTTTATTCTCGTATATGAAGTAGAGATAAAGCTTAATTTTCTTCCAGTTACTTAACTTTCTTCCAACTGCTACATGAACTTTTTCAGTGTCCTATCCCCAATGATTTGATGTTTCTCCTTTATCTTACTTTTGAAGTTGTGTGTTAGAGTTAGTTTTTGGGTTCTGTATTCTATTGAACTGCTCTTTGCCTCCCTTTGCAAAAGCAACACACTGTCTTAATTATTGTAACTGTTCATTTATTATACTAATATGTGCAGAGCTGGGGATGAGGGGCATCCAGTGATAAGAAAGATAAAAAAGTACAGTTCAAGTCTCTGCATTTATAAAGATGTATCAGTATTTACTTGTATAAGGTTGCTGATTTCTCTTTTATTCAATTTTTTTTTTTTTTTTTTGCTGGACTTTCCCATTTATTTTTATCAATGAATTTTGAAATCATTCTGTCAAGTTCCTCCGAATACTCTGCTGTGAGTTTTTTTGCTAATTTATTTTATATATTAAACAATTGGTACAATTAAAAAATTGGTAGATGGCTAACATATATAGTATTTGAGTTTCATGTTTTAGGAACATAGCATTTTTCTAAACTTATATCCCTCTGTACTTTTAAAAAGTTTTCTTTGTGTACAGACTACAACTTCTTTTTTTCCACCTGTTAGAGAATATTTCAGTGTATCTGTTAGGAGTTCTAATACCTAGTTCAACTCTGCAGGGTTTGTAAATAGTAGTAACTCATGTGATATTAAATTTCATTATTATGAACTCATCTTTTCTTGAATCACCTTAGTTGGAAAGAAGGAATCATAGCCTGTTATGCAGATGTCATCTTAGGAGGCATTGCTCCTTCAAGTGTACTGTACCCTGGTAGAAGTATCACACAAGGAGGAAATACTCAGACTTGGTTTCTTCTGTCTAATAGTGCAGTTCTAAGAATCCAGAGGAATAGGTCTAGCCAAAATTGGAGAGTTTGGGAATGTACAAAGTGAGAAAGTAGGAAAAAGAAGAAACTAGTAGAACATAGCAAAATGTTGTATATTACAATAATAAGTAACTGTTCTACTCCCAGGTGAGAGATGTTTTTACTTGTTTTATTACTAGGGAACAAAGTATGGACTTATGTAGACATCTTTTTAAAAAAAAAATCAGAGTCTCATTCTCACCCAGGCTAGAGTATAGTGGTACAGTTACGGCTGACTACGGCCTGAAACTCCTGAGCTCAGGTAATCCTTTTGTTTCAGCCTCCCAGGTTGCAGGACTATAGGCACATTCCACCACGCCTGGTTAATTTTTTTATTCTTTGTGGAGACAAGGTCTTCCCATGTTGCCCAGACTAATCTTGAGCTTCTGGGCTCAAGTAGTCCTTCTGCCTTGGCTTCCCAAAGTGCTGGGTTCAGGCCAGCACTTGGACCACCAAGTGCTTGGGCTAACTGTGTCCAGCACAGTCTTTATTAGGAACCCTGATAGACAAGTTTTGCCTAATCTTTTATACAAATAAATACATAAATTTTAAAAAGTGAAATGTATGCGTAAGTTACATAAATACACACACTGCTGCTAGACTGCCTACTGCTATGGCTTTGTGATACAGTAGAAAGAAAAATTGAGAGTATCATTTAGAAACTTAATAGCAATTTGATACTGTCATGACATCATTTTTCTTATATTTTACACAAGAACTGGTTTGAGATGCATTGGAACTTTTTAAACAGTTTCCTTAACAATCATGAAGATCTTGATGTTCCTTGCTTAGAGTTAGTATTTACATATTAATTTATTTTATGCAGGGTGTGGCTGGGAATCCAATGGTGAAATCTGTGCTTGATAAGACAAAACATTCAGTAGAAAGCATGATTACAACGCTGGACCCTGGCATGGCTCCATATATCAGTACGTACATAAATTAGACTTGTGTCTGCATTATTTTTTTAAAGTATGTCAGTGTCAGCCACTTAGCACAATTCTCAGTTTGTTTTCACTTATGTAATCAGTGGAAATTCCTGTTATATTCTTGCATTAAGTTGATTATCAGTCTTAGTTTTTGATATTATTATTAATTTATCTTTAGTTATCAAATAAATCTTGAATCTCCACAGAATGAACTTTGAAGGAGTAAAAGCAGTGAATTATTAGTGTACTTATTGATTTTAATTTTAAATATAGGTTAACATTGCTTTATATGAATTTTATTCACTGTTAACATTTGAAGTGATGTTTTGTTCAAACTTTTTTTTTTATATTTCTTTAGTTACCTATTTTAGTTAAATGTGTTTATTCTTAAGTCAGGAATAGTATTTTTGGAGGAACTTAATCTAGTTATTATATCAGATTACTAGGTTTGTTGGGAAAGCTATTTTAATCACCTTTGAACTCTCACTATCCAGAATCTTCTAGACAATTAACATAGAGATACAGTCGGCTATTTATTTTTAAGTACATATCCAATATGTGAAAAAAATGTTATCACCTACCAGGATCAGTGACCAATTGTTAATAATCCGTAGAAAATAATTTATAAGCCAAAATTGTATAGCAGTTGTGCAGCAGAGTTTTTTTTTTAGTTGGAGTCTCACTGTGTCGCCCAGGCTGGAGTGCAGTGGCCAGGCAGTGGCTGCTCCTGGCCACCGCAGCCTCGAGCTGCTGGGCTCCGGTGATCCTTCCGCCTCAGCCTTCCATGTAGCTGGGACTACAGGTGCACGCTACCACGCCCGGCTTATTTTTTGATTTATTGTAGAGATGAGGTCTCACCAAGTTGCCCAGGCAGGTGTCGAACCCGTGGGATCAGGCAATCCACTCACCTCAGCCTCCGAAGGCACGGGATTACAGGCTGAGCCACCGAGCCCGGCTAACAGAGATTTTTTAATGGCAGTAAAGAGCCAATAGCTTTAATGATTCAGGACTATGTTGGTAGTTTACTGTCTAGTAAATGTCAAAGGGCAAAATACTTACTGACTGCTTCTGCCAGACATTAATTCTTACAAGAGCTCTGCAAAGTGCATGTTTTCTTTAATTTCTATATGAAGAACCTGGCTTCAGAGAGATGCAAGTGATTACCCTAGGTGCTAGATTGAACCCAGGCTCAATTTTTTTACGCTTAGCCACTTTGCTTTCCTTGTAGTAGAAAATTTAATAAAAAATGAAATCAGCTGAATTGTTCTTTGTGTTTATAACTATTCAGAGGATTCAGAAACTGGACTCTACCATATATATTGATTTCATATATTCATAATACAGTTTTATATACTTAATACATCAAATATATTCTTTTTTTCAGAAGTACATATTTTGAATGATGTAAGGAAAGGAATTGATATTTTTGAAGGTCTTACTGTTTTAATGGATGTACCATGTTAGACTGTGAAAATAATTATTTAATCCTTAGAGCAAGGACTATGAAGTGGCAGGTATTTTTCAACAAAGAAGCAAGATCAATGACTTCCCCAAGGTAATGAAGATAGCAAATTATAAAGATAGGACTCAAACCAAAGGCAGTTTCTCAAGCCAGTAGTCTCCACGACATCAAGTAAAAGGCATGTAAGACCAAAGGGGAAAAATGAAAGATACAGAAATGAAATTTCTATTAGCAGATATCATAACTTATAATAACATAATGTTAATCAGTTAGCTTTAAAAAATAGTAAAGCTGTTTGTGAAAAAAACTAACAGTAAAAGCAACACCGTTCTGATCTAATAAAACTCAAAGTAAAACTTACAGTATTTTTACAGAAATATTCTAGAAATCACTTGATGTAACAATTTCAAATGTATCAAGAAAGCACAAGAATAATTAGAAGTGGATTTTAACACAGTTTAAATTTCTACAGTACTTTAATTGTTTTTTCCTTAAAGGCAGGACTACTCATCACAAACTGAAAAGCCTTTTTGAACTGAAGCTTAACTGAAAAGCCTTTTTGAACTGAAGCTTAATGGAGCAGTATTTAGTTGGGGTCAAGAGATATGTCCCACATGGAGGGAAAAAAAATGGGAAAAAAGTATATTCTTCCATGCAACCCATTGCTTTTTGGCTCTAGTGACTTCTGAAATGCCTGACAAAGATGTGATCTGTGGAATATTATGTCAGTCAGGTAAAAGGGATCCATGTTTTTTTAAAAAACAAATATTTAGGAAATATTTGCAGCTGCTCCACAAGATACTCACTAGGGAAAAACAGTCTTGTTTCTGGGGCAAAAGAACTCCATGAGAAATCTCTTTTACCAGTGATAACCTTTAATGCCAAATATCAAAATACATTGTGCCATGGCTTTGAATTCACTATATCACAAAATGTTTGGTTAAGATCTTTAAAAATAATGAGACATATTTGGTCAAATTGTTGTGTCTAGAAATAATAGTGCATAGGTTTTTAAAAATAATTGAAAAATTAAAAATGTTTGAAAATATCTTTTTTTTCATATTGCTCTTAGCCTTTTAAACTTTCAAGTTTTATGTTACTTCAGTTTTCATATATGCTTGCATATTTGTATTAGGACAGTAGTATATGTATAATTTGAAAATAGGTACCTATTTGTGGTATGTGCTCTTTTTTTTCCTTTTAGAGACAGGTTCTCACTTGTGCACCACCGTGCCTGGCTAATTTTTTTGTTTTTTGTAGAAACAGGTTTCACTGTATTTCCCAGGCTGATCTCGAACTCCTGGCCTCAAGCAGTCTTTCTGCCTTAGCCTCCTAAAGCACTGGGATTACTGGCATGAGCCACCGTGCCTGGCTCTTTTTTTTTTTTAATGATAGGGATGTATAATAAAGCTTGATAATCCTCACATTTAAATGCTTTCTAGATAAAAAGTATATTTCATGATAGTCCTTGATTAGTGCATAACTTCAGTACAACTCTTTGACAAATAACTTATTATCAGGGAGAATCTTTAATTTTCTGTAAATATAGTATCCCAACTGTGTAACTTATACTTCACAAGCCCTATAATTTGATTTTTCTCATTGCTTTATAGCTGAAGGATTGGAAACTGGCATCCACTTGGAGTTAGATTGTGTGTCATGAGTGTCTGTTTGTATTAATCAGCAGCAGAAAAACCATTTTGATTTGCAGTTTTACAAATGCAGTATATGTGTCTATCCAAAGTTTAAACTAATTAGAAAATGAAATGTGGCTAAGTTAATTGAATGGTGTAGTAGGCTTATTATCGTTTTCCTGTTTGATACCTGTGGAAAGCTTTTTGGGGGCCATTATTGGATGCTGAATAATATTACATGAGCTGATTAAGTGCAGATTAAGTATGGAATGTATTGGGTTAGTCATGATTTTCAGTAGTTGGATTTTTCAGAATCTGTGCTATGTTAATAATGTGCATTGTGAATTTCTAATAAAGGAATATGGTGTGCAGTATTTCCCAATGTTATTTGACCACAGAACACTGTTTTCAGGAAGAGTTGCTAATATATTCTGACGCAGCATTTCATAGAATACAGAAAAATGTGTGCTCTAGTTGTGGCAGACATGGTACTCAGAACTAATTAGAGATGGCATGGTCCATTGTCTGCTTGTATATAAGACTCCCTCAGATAATGCATTAAATTCTCGTTTTTAAAATTCAGATAAAGTTGGTAACTCTAGGATAAGCACATATTGGAATAAGATGCTGTTAGATTTGAGCATGAGAAGTGTTGTATCAGACAATGTGGCTAAAAAAAATCATTTCAGAATCTGACAGATGTAGGTTTGAGTCCTGACATTAGTGCTAAGTGATTTCATTACCTTGGGCAAGACTTTGGTCACCTTCAGTTTCCTCAGCCATATAAAAAAGGTGGTTTTATGAAGCTAGTAATAATTATGTAAATAAAATGTTAGCAATTGGTATGGTAGTAATTATGAGAGTTTCGTTATTTTAATTTGAAGTTGAAATTTTCCTTTGGTCTTTGTAGAGTCTGGAGGTGAATTGGATATTGTAGTAACGTCAAATAAAGAAGTAAAAGTTGCTGCTGTCCGAGATGCCTTCCAGGAGGTCTTTGGCTTAGCTGTGGTTATAGGGGAAGCTGGACAGTCCAATATTGCCCCACAACCAGTCGGTTATGCGGCTGGATTAAAAGTGAGTAATAGAGAACCGTTTTCAGGATATGGAAACTGGCAGGTAATTTTTTCATGATTCTGATAACTTGTGGTCTCTATGAAGCTTATAGGTTGCTTTTTAAAAATTAATTTCTGATTGGGATCTCATTCTGTTGCCCATGCTGGAGTGCTGTGGCACGACCACGATTCACCACAATCTTGACTTCTTGGTCTCAGGTGATCCTTCCGCCTCAACCTCTCGAGTAGCTGCCTCAGCAGGCGTATTCCACCATGCTTGGCTGATTTTTTTGTAGAGACAAGGTCTTGCTATGTTGCCAAGACTGGTCTCAAACTCCTGGCCTTTAGCAGTCCTCCTGCTTCGGCTTCCCAAAGTGCTGGGATTACAGTTGCGAGCCACAGTGGTTGGTTACTCATAGGTTTTTATATACTGAAATAATGATCAGCTTTGCTTTTCAGCAACTCCATAATATTATGAAGATATGTAGTAGAGTTTTAATTTGAAGACATCTAAGGTTTTAATTATCATGGGAGGGAAGGAAACAGTCAGAGAGCCCAGAAAGTGAGTAGTTAGTCCTAATGGAGATCTTAATGTGGTGTTAATATTCTACTCAGTTACTGAAATTATAATATTCCTGAATCCCATAAGCCTTTTTATTATTACCATTAGTAATACTTAAAATAATTAAAATACCTAAAATTTCTAGGAATTCTGTCCTCTCTTTCATACATTCTTTTTTTTTTCTATCTTTATATTGTTACCAACATATAATCATACAAGAACAAATGAACAGTTGATTTGCTTTCCCACCTTGAAAAACAAAAATGAACCAAAGGAATGCCCAACAAATTCTTTGACCTCACTTTCTCTGTACCTTATTTTGCTTTCTTTGGCTGCAGAACTTAAGAGTTGGCAAAACTTTTCTCAAATTCTTTTCTTCACGTTCCCTTAAACCCACACCAGCCAGACTTTTACCTTCACCCTCCAAGGAGAACGCTGTCAGGGTCACTCATGTTCTCCATTCTACTTGACATATCAGTGGCTTTTGAGGCATTAATCATTCACTCTCATGCTTTTTTCACTTGACTTCCAGGATACCACATTTTTGTTTTTTTTCTCCTGCACTGATGGCAAATTTCTTCACTTCCTTTGCTGGTCCCTCCTCTTTTCCCCAGTCTTCTCATGGCCACCCTCTCTTTCCATTCACTGTCATACCATTCCATGACTCTAAATACCAGCTGTGTGCTGACAGCTCCAAATTTATGTCTCCACCTGAGACCTTCTTGTAAACTTTTGATTTATGTAAAAATTGCCTTGACAACTTTACTTGAATATCTCAAACTTAATATGTCAGAACTGAGCAGTTTTTGTTTTATTCCTAACCTGCTGCCCCCAGCTTTTTTTTAAATCTTAATTGATGGTAATTCTATCCTGTTTTCTCAGGCAAGAAACTTTGGAGTCATTTCTATCTTCTTTCATTATTCATTTCTAATCCATTGAGAAATCTTGCTTACGGGGCAGACAGTTCTTTTTTGCTATAGTTGTGTTCTATAAGGTTGCTGCAGACACTAAAAGAGTGAATATAGAACAGTTTCTCCTAGGGGTGATTCAGGGTTAGTTCACTGTGGGCCTTTCTGGTCACAACATTTTTGCCAACTTGTCAATACATGAATTAGTTTTATGTCTGTTTCTGTTTAAATACATCATTATACACATATACTTTATTTTTTTTGAGTTGGAGTCTCACTCTGTCGCCCAGACTGGAGTGCAGTGGCTGCTCCCGGCCACCGCCACTGCAGCCTCGACCTGCTGGGCTCCGGCGATTCTTCCGCCTCAGCCTTCCAAGTAGCTGGAACTACAGGCGCACACCACCACACCTGGCTAGTTTTTTTTTTTTTTTTTTTTTTGATTTATTGTAGAGATGAGGTCTCACCAAGTTGCCCAGATGGGTCTTGAACCTGCAGGATCAGGCAATCCACTCACTTCACACATATACATTTTTAATTACTATTGAACTTTCATAGGTAATAGCACTATAACTAATCCCTGAATGAAGCTTAATGAACACACTCATATTTTCTCCGTAAGGCATATCACAATCTTCTTGTTCTTGGGAACACTGAATAGCTCCTTAGCACTACACTTGGAAGTCACGTGAAACAGTGAAATTATGAACAAAAAGCATAAAAATGCACGATAATGGCACTACATCACAAAAATGATACTTGTTTACATTATGTCAGCTGAAACAAGAAGGCAGAGCACCACCTTGTTCGACTTCAGCTGGGAATATGTGCATCAGGAAACTCAAACTTCTCATAACTTCGTTGTTTGAGGTTACAAATAAATTTCGGTGAGTAGTCAAATTCACAGTTGTGGAACCCTCAAATAATGAGAATCAATTGTATTTACATTTTAAGGAGAAACGTATTCTGATATATGACCTTCTGTTATTTAAAGGAGCTCATAATAGCTTACATTTATTAAGAGCATCCTCTGAGCCAGCACATGGATACTTTTCCTGTATTCTCTTATTTGACACATGTAAAGCATTAGAATGAGGTGATTGGTATAGCATATTTCGTGGGAGAAAAAGTCTGTTCCATTGATTATAATTAGTCACTAAACATAAACCCACATTGACACCAGCTTGTTTTTAATTCTACTAGGTAGTGCTATATGAGCTTGAGGTGCTTTTCTAGTTACATTTAGTACTTTATTTAAGTAGAATATGAAGCTCTTTCTTTTTGCTGCCCCCACCCACCCCAAACACACATAACCACTGTTCTGAATTAGTAGCTATCAGGCAACAGTTATACTATATCTAAATGTAGTGTATTATATATAATATCAATCAAATTACACATTTCTTGCCTTTTCACTTTTCATAATGGTCTATCTTTATACACAGAGCAGTGCTGCCAAAAGCACATGCACTTAAAAATGTTTCTGTACTCTCCTTGAATTTGAGCCCTAGTGTACATTTCCAATAAAGCTTTCTTTGGGGTAGAAGTTTGATGTTATTAAAATTTAGCAAAGCTAACTGATGGCTATAGGATTTGAATTCATTCTAATATAGAAATGAAAAAAAGCACAGTAAATGGGTAAAAGAAATATTTTGCACACAATAATTGTACATTAAACCAGTTATACATAAGCTAAATTATAAACATCTGTATGGGTGGTTTTTGTTTGAAAGAGTAGAGCAAGTCACATGCTTAGATTGAGGTTGTACTTTCAAGATGTCACAAGTGCTTCTGCAAGTTGGAAAGCTTATCAGGGAAAGATTTTCAAAATTTTGTTTCAGAGGGCAATGTGAAGAAAATCTTTTTTTTTTTGAGTTGGAGTCTCACTCGGTTGTTCAGACTGGAGTGCAGTGCCCGCACCTGGCCACTGCAGCCTCGCCTGCTGGGCTCCAGTGATCCTTCTACCTCAGCCTTCCCAGTAGCCAGGATTACAGGCATGCGCTACCACGCCCGGCTGATTTTTTGATTTATTGTAGAGATGAGGTCTCGCTGCCCAGGTGGGTCTCGAACCCGCGGGCTCAGGCAATCCACTCACCTCAGCCTCCCAAAGGTGTGGGATTACAGGCTGAGCCACCAAGCCCGGCGTGAAGAAAATCTTAAGAAGGAAGTAGGTTATTGGACAAAGAAAATGGTTAGTACATCTCATTAAAATTAGAGACTAAAGCAAAGGCTTTCTGTAAATTGTGAAGCATTATATAATGTGAAATAGAGGTTGGTAATGGTATTACTTAAAGGGGGGTGGCAAAGGAATTTATTAATTCTCTAGTAAAGGAAATTTCAATCCAAGGAGCTAGAGCTTGAAATTATTATATTAAGCAATTAGAATAACTGACCATGTGAAGAGCCTGCTTTTTCATTATGGTTTTTAAAATATGAACCTTATTTTCTTACATTTAGATATCATTATGCAGAAGATACTAAACATCAGTAGGCATTAGACAGATTGTTTTTGCTTTTGGTTTTTGTTCTTCAAATAGAGACACTTGAGTTCTTTTTTCGTAATTTTTAATACAAGCCCAAAATCAAAGTCGTTGAAACTAGTATATCGGAAAGGAGTTTGTAAATTTGTCAGCTTTTTATATTTTTTAAAAACGGTAGAGGGAGCTGATGAGAAGGAAAATAATGTAGGATCTTAGAACATACAAATTGTAATCCATTTTTGTTCTACCCATCAGATTTTATTTGAAGTGAATGACTTTTCTGTACTAAACTTAAGTTGTCTTTTAGACATATAAAATTATTTAAGGAAGTAAATCACTTCAGCCAGAATTAAAGTTAAGAAGCGTCCAAAACTTCTCTGCCGACTGTTGATTTTATTGAAAAGACTGCTGTAGTTATGACCACTGTTTTATATAACTTATATTGAATAAATATAATATCTGTTAGCACTTATGAATGTGTATAAAATTTTAATTATCTGAACCAAGTTGCTTAGTATAGAGTACGGTATTGTTCTTCAGTTCTGAGGTGATTATTTCAGTATGGTCTCTCAACAACCTAATTCTTTCTCTCCTACATTGCTAAAAAGTAAAATTCCATTCTTAAAACATTAGTAGGGACTAATATTAAAATGTCTGTATTTGTAACTCTACAAGAGGCTACATGTAATTAATGTGGTCAGAGGAAAAAAGAGCCCAGGTATAACCCCTTCTACATTTTCTTCTGGTTTTTGTAAACAAAAAAGAATTAAACTTGCCTTTCAAGCTTATTATCCTATCTCTTGTAGGTACTAATTAATGTTAATTAAATATTTTGTTAATCCTATGAAGTATAAAGCCCTGTGCTGTAAAATTACAAAAAATGAACAAACCTTAGGCTCTGTTCCCTGGAAGCATAAGATCTAGGAATATTTTGTTGTAGTGTGTAGCTGAGACACAACTTTCAAAGAGTTAGGGATGAATCTCTAAACATCCCCCTATTCCCCTAATAGTTTTTACTGAGTTAACATTTTTTTAAGCTTTTTTAAAATCAAAATTTAGCCATGACTACCTCCTGGGAGGAGTGAATTAGATAAATTTACAATATCCAGTATAAAGAATTAAGTTCATCCTGTCTGTTATTGCTCTCAAAATCAACTGCTGCCTCATTATTTCAATATTATTAGATTTGGTGATGTCATATTTACATTATTTATACTCTTACCACAGACCTTCAGAAGGCTTTTTTTTTTTTTCTTTTTCATTTGTTTGGTCTTTTTATGTAATAAGTTTTTATTGAACACCTGTTAGATTAGGCCCTGTGCTAGGTACTGGAGATATTGAGTGAGCAAAAATACAGTTTTGATTTTATTGTAGTTTAAATCATATAATCTCTCATCCTTCATCTTTACAAGCTAGTATCTTAAGTTATTTTACAGATTCTCATGCAGTTGTTACTTCCTCTTCTTTTTTTTTTATTTGTCTTTGAAATACAGCTTTCTCTAGACTTGTCCTAGCCTTCTTAATTTTCATTTTATTAATTGACCACTTCATCTGGTATTCTCTGATTTTGCTGTCCTTATTAAAAATAGCTTTATTATCCACGTAGAGTTTTTTTTGAGAAACTGAAATTTTTAAAATCATGCCTTTTGAACACTTGTTCCTCACGTTGTTCATCTTTACTGTTTATGAAACTATTTAGGTCCTCACTAATCCAGCTTTTAGTTTTCTAATTATAAGATATATAGTGAATTAATGATTTTGAATTACCTGTGCAGGGTTCTTGGCTCCTCAGTTTTGCTTCATAATGGTAATTACTTTATTGAATGAGCTTTGGTAATGTATGCTTTTGCAGCTTTTTATTTTAAGTGCCTAGCCATTTTGTTGTATATTTATTTAAACAATCAGAAGAAAGAGAAAAACACATTTTCTATTGATAAGATTGCCTACCTAAAAATTCCACAGAGAGTCAATTAAAAGCCCATTAGGAGTGAGATAAGATTTTTATTCAGTAAAATGGCCTCTTACCAGATCAGCGTTTAAAAATACACTTTTTTTTCTTTAGTAATAACCAGTAGAAAATGTAATATAAAGTTAATGCATTTCACAGTAGTAACCAGTATAACAATGCAACTGGGAATAATTTGGAAGGTGTCCCTCAGACTGTTAATACTGAGGAGACCTGATTGTACTCTGTCACGTTATTCTGTATACTTTTGAATTGTTTGATCATTTACAGTGGACACATATGAGTTTGTATATAAATGTATGCATGTATTATATTATCATAAATTAGTATATTTAATAGTAAATAATTTGAGAACTGGTGTCTGACCTATGCCTTTGTTGTTTAGGGCGCCCAGGAACGGATAGATAGCTTGCGTCGAACTGGAGTGATCCATGAAAAACAGACTGCTGTGTCGGTAGAAAACTTCATTGCAGAATTGCTGCCTGACAAGTAAGACATTTATTGTTTCACTTAGAAGCAAAATATAATAGGAGTTTGGGGGCTCCTAATAAATACCTAGCAAAAAGTGTCTCCTATTTTAGAATTAGAGAGAAAAGTATGTTCTGATGATAGCTGTCTCACCTAACTACCTGTACTTCCTGCATAGCTTTCCTGACATTTCTTTCCTTGTTCTCTTTTTTTATAAAATGGAGATAGTAATGCCTCCTTTCTAAGATTATGCCAATAATAATAATGTAATAGCACTAAAGTAAGACATTTATTGTTTCACTTAGAAGCAAAATATAATAGGGGTTGGGGGCTCCTAATAAATACCTAGCAAAAAGTGTCTCTTATTTTAGAATCAGAGAGAAAAGTATGTTCTGATGATAGCTGTCTCACTTAACTACCTGTCCTTCCTGCATAGCTTTCCTGACATTTCTTTCCTTGTTCTCTTTTTTTATAAAATGGAGATAGTAATGCCTCCTTTCTAAGACTATGCTAATAATAATAATGTAATAGCACTAAATATAGGATGACATAGGTATATTGGCTTGTATATAATTGACCATAGGTAGTAACCACAATTATTCACAGTTATTCAAATAATAGAAGGTTTGGGTAAGAAGGCCTGACTAATGGCAGCCACTAGATTTGAGTTCCTGCTGAGAACTGTTTCTCAGGTATTTAGTTTAGGAAAACCTCCACACAGCATAACTCATCATTGTTTTTAAGGGCTGTCTGTTTTTAATGGATAGTTTTTTGGGGAGGGACCCAAGAAAACCTGGAATTATCTTTTGGTGGGCAGGTCTTTTGTAGTACAGACTTCCCTACTAGGTAAGTGTTCTAAAAACCCATCGGTATCAATGTACCAGTTAGTGTTTTTGTGAGAGGCTGCATTTGACTTCAGTGAATTGTTTTTGGAGATAGTTTCAGTGTTTGCCCATTTCATAATGGATGATATTCGTGTACACTTGACCACACTGCGCTGAGTATTTAGCAATTTTTGACCAAAAATGGCTTGATCCCCATGCCCCACTCTCCCTATTCACCTGGTCCTGCCCTAAGTGATTTTTTTGATTGTTTCTTTGCACTGGAAAAAGCCCTCAAAGGGGAACGTTTTGCCAATGTGGATAGGTGAAATAAAACAGCAGACGTACTGAAAGGCATTAAAATTGTTTTGAGCAGTGGAAAAAGCATCTCAATAGGTGTATTGTATCAGAGTATTTTTTTTTTTTTTTGAGTTGGAGTCTCACTCTGTCTCCCAGACTGGAGTGCAGTGGCCGCTCCTGGCCACCGCAGCTTCGATCTGCTGGGCTCCGGCGATCCTTCTGCCTCAGCCTTCCAAGTAGCTGGAACTACAGGCGCGTGCTACCATGCCCGACTCATTTTGATTTATTGTAGAGATGAGGTCTTGCCAAGTTGCCCAGGCAGGTCTCAAATCTGCGGGCTCAGGCAATCCACTCACCTCAGCCTCCCAAAAGCACGGGATTACAGGTTGAGCCACTGAGCCCGGCCTATCAGAGTACTTTGATAGTGACTGGAGTTTGAACATGTAAGAATAAATCACAATTTTTTATAAATTCCAGTTTTTTGGGGGTCCCCACTTGTATTTATATTAAGATAACTTCTTTTTGTTGAAATCTGTCTTATTTTATAATAGCATTGTGGTTTTGTTGTTTATCTTTTTTGTTTATTTAATATTGAATAACATTTTTTGACTATAATAGGCAAAAAAAAATATCCTCCAACTTTGAGGGTGTTGTATCTAGGCTAGTTGGGAGAGCAAATATAAACACAGATAAACAGTTTTAAATAATTATATAAAAAGTTATAACTTTTTATTGATAGGAAATGTTATATAGAATTTCTATGGAGGTAAATCATTGTAGAGGTTGTGTCAGATGAAATTTAGGAATGATTGGGGATTGAACTTAGTCTTAAAAAGGATGTAAAACTTGGGTAAATGGGAACAAAGTTGGTGGGACATTCTAAGTGGAGGAAAAGTTTGAAGGTAGTTGACATGTATTCTGGGGTTAGTGATTATATCAGTTTGACTGAGGTTTGTTGGCTAGGAAATCAAGCAGTCTGAGGATGGATTGTGAAGAGCTCTGAATTCTAGGTTGAGAAATTTGAATTTTCTGTATAATATTGTTTCGCTTTTCCCCTCTATCTTAATTGTACATATATTTTAAAGTCCTGAGATATTACTAGTATTGCTTTGTGCAGTCAGTATTCATTTATGTTACCCTCTGAATTCATTCTTGTGTTTTTTTCCTGCCTGGGATCATTTTCCTTCTGCCTAAATACTTCCTTTGCTACTACATTATAATAATGCAGGGCTACTAACTACCATTCTCTCAGCTTTTGTTTGTGTGAAAGTGCATTAATTCTCCTTTATTTTTGCTGGATGTAGAAGTCTAGGTTGACAGTTCTTTTAGCTCTTTACAAATGTTATATTGTTTTCTAGCTCTTGTCATTTCTGTTAAGAAGTCAGCCGTCCATCTTGTTTCTGTGGAAATAGTATGTTGTTTTCTCTGTCTGCTTTTAGGATTTTCTGTCATTTTATTTTTGCTATGTTAGTATTGCAAAACTACATATGTTTGTTTTGCTTGCTTTTATAATTAATTTTTTGTGTATTCACTGAGCTACTTGATTCTGTGGATTGATGGCTTTTGTCAGTTTTGGAACATTCAGAACTTGCTTCTGGCCCATTTTCTCTACCTTCTCTGTAGGACCATAATTACACATTTGTTTGTCTTTGGCAGTGTCTTGCATTTTCTACAAAGTCAATTTTTTTCCCCTGCTTGGGTATTTTTCTCCTCAGGCTCGCTAATCCTGCCTTCTGCTGTGTCCTGCCTGCTGTTAAGCCCTTACCTAGAGTTCTTTTTTGGTTCAATTTATCTAGTGAATATCTTAACCTTTGAATCTATTTGTACTATCTTTGCCTCTCTTTTTTTGAATATATGAATCAGTTATTTTAAAATCCCTGCCTAGTTCTAGTATTCTACAAAAATTTTTGTTTTCTACAAAAATTGCCTAGTAATTTTTGAAAGCTATTGTTTAAAACCTCTAGAGGCTTCAGGTGATCTTGAGAAAGTTCACCCTTTCCTCTAATAAACACAGTTATGGGATGTGAAGGAAAGGAGGTAATGTAGTGTACTTTAGTTACTGTCTGAGCTGAGTAAAGCCTGGATTGGAGTTCTCATGTATATTCCCTGTCATAGAAGAAACTCTCCTTCAGTGACTGTTTTTTAGGACGTCCACATCTGACAGCTTAGTATGTTATTTACCATAGACATTACAAATCTTGAAAAATAATGCAAAATAAAATTTAGCTAAGCTCGATTTTATGGAGACTTCACAGATACATTTCCTTGACTGAGAAAGTTGTCATAATAAAATACAAAATTAGTCTGATTAGTCTGATTAGTCTGCCAAATAAAATAAATGTTATCATTTAATGTTTTTAGTTTGAAACATAGCTTTGGGATATGAATACTACAGGTATTACAAACTGCCATTTCAGTATTCTGCGGTGTTGCTTTTATTACCCTAGATTTTACTTTTGTTTTTTTCTTGAATATATAAGTAAGTGTTCTAATCCATTTTATATTTAATTGCATTTTATTAGATTTACATATTTTTTAAAAATTGAGAGTGACACTGAACATTTTCCTGCTCCATGAAACTTATTAATTAAATTGATGATTTGAGGGTATCAAGTTGTTTCATGATTTTGGTTAACTAAAATTCTGGTGATTCTCAGTTGTCTTAAGTCAATTTTAAAACATATCACTTTTTATAATTTGCAAGTTTCTTGGATTATTCCTTAATTTGCTAGTAACTTTGTTGACTACATCTTAATGATAGAGTTGATAATATATAATTTCTCACATTTTAGCAAGTGACATTTGAAAAATATTACATATTATAAGCTATTTGTATGTTTAAATGAGTGTAAATTTATCTGTTGCATATTTGAGTTCCCTGCTTCCATTGATCTTCCCCATCTTAGCACAAAGGTAAACTTTCCACAATGAGCAATTTTAAGTTTTTTTCTTTGTTATTTCCCATTCTTTTTCTCTTCTTGGAATTAGACCAACAGAGTGATTTTATCTGTTTTTTTGTTTTTTGTTTTTTTTATGGATTATCCTTCCGCAAATGGATTAGGAAAAAGATTTTCTTTTAGGAATCTGCTAATGTTTTATCTGAATAATAGTACTTGTTTCTTCTTTTTGTTTATTCACTATAACTTTTGTGTAGCATATAAACCATTTGAAACTCACAATTCTGTTATAGATGGTTTGACATTGGTTGTTTGGTGGTTGAAGACCCTGTCCATGGCATTCATCTAGAAACATTTACACAAGCCACACCAGTGCCTTTGGAATTTGTACAACAGGTTGGTTTTCTCCTTTGGTTTTTCATGATGTTCCAGAGATACTTGGAATGTATAGATACTTGTTTTTAGAATAAAAATTTGTGTTAGATTTTTTTGTTTTTGACTTTGCTTCCATCTTTGTTGTTTCAGTGTTTCTCTTTCTTTTTAATTTCCTGGTTCTCCCATGTTGTTTTACTGCCTCCCTATTTTTTTTTACAGCTGTCCTTGCAAAGGTAATATGTTATATGGTTTACCATCTTTTCCTCATTTTTTTCCTTTTTTTAATGATTGTTTCCTACCTTGAAATCAGAAAAAGGTTTGCCTTTTCTGCTTATTTACGTCCACCTTTCATTTACTTTCCCCTTCGTCTTACATTTTATTTCTACTATTGTCCCCATTTTTCTTTTTTTTAAATTTGATCATTCTCCTGAGTTATTCTTCTTTAATAACAAGAAAGTGCTAGAAACCTTAGGTGATAGGTACATATCTTTAGGTTTGTTGACTGAAAAATGGTGTACCATCCACATAGTTTCCAGAAGATTGAAAACATGAATGATAATCTTTATTCCTCTATATTTTACATAACTTTTCTCTAATTCTTTCATGAATAAAATAGAATATAAACATATTTACATTGAAATCTTTGTACTGATACGTTGTTGAGTTTTTCCTTTAATCTATTTTATAAAATTTTCATCACAATTGTGCTTAACTATCTCTTAAAGTTAGCTGGGACTTGAAGACATTTGAGAATCTGATAAACTATTGGGTTCTCTCCCAAGAAAATACATGCATGTACTTACATATAAATTAGGTATAAGTGTTCGTAAAATCCCTGAAAGAATTCTGTGGCCCTCTTAGAGGTTTATAGTTTAGAAAGGGGAATAAGAATTGATACTTGGAATTTAGCTTTTATGTATACCATAATTTCTTTTCAGAAGTTTAAAAAAAACCTTTTTATAGATGTTAACATTAACTCACTTCTCATTTCAACATGAAGTTGACAAGAAGATTGTAAGAGAATAATTGTGTATACTGTTATACTTATGAATTAGAATGATTAGATAAAATGATTAATTCCACGAAAATATACATTTTCCTGTAGTTGGTTGAGAAATAATTATTAGGTTGAACCATACAAAATTTCTGTCTTTGATGGTCAAAAACAGTCTAATATTGTGGTTTTCATATGATTCAACCTAATTACCTCATTGAAGTAGTATAGTGGAAAAAACTTCTCTAATTACAAAAAAAAAATCACTGAATTCTAATAGTGTTAGAAGTGAGTTTTACAAAATACTCAAGCTGATTCTCATGCTGTATAGAGTATCAAAAATAGAGGACGTTTTCTGGTTCATTTTGTGAAACTAGCCTCTCTTAACGTCAAAGGAAATTATAGTCCATTGTCACTTAAGAACTAAACATCAAAAATATTGGTAAAATTAATAAATAAAATTAAGAAATGTATTAAAAGGACACTGTATCCTCATCATTTACTCCAAGAGTAGCAGAATTGTTCAACAATTACAAATCAGTTTATGTAATTTAATACATGAGTATCTGTTTTGAATGGAGAAAAAGAATTCCAATAGAGTTGAAGGTATTTGCTAGAAGTTATCAAACTGATAACTCCTAGCTAATTAAGATTAGAAGGGTATGTGAGTACTACAAAATCAAAGCAAACTTCAGATCTAAATGTTAAACATCGGAATCCTTACAATTATGAGGAAACTCCTATCACCACCATTGTCAGCATTGCTGTAGATCTGGGGCCAGCAAACAGTGACTCTTGTCCAAATCTGGCCTGCTACCTGTTTTGTAAATATAAGTTGTATTGAAACACACTCATGCCAGTTTGCTTACATATTGTTTATAGCTGCTTTTGTACTACAGCAGTGGAATCAAGTAATTGCAATAGAGACAGGCCCACAAAAACTAAATTATATACTGTGTGAATCTTTTCTAAAAAGTCTGCCAACCTCTGTGCTAGATGTCTGATCATTGCAGAAGGACAATTTTTATTTTATTTTTAGGGATATATGTTAGAAAGACATGAAAAAATGAAGTGGACCTATATGTACTCATACCAAAAGGTAGCTATGATATATTACTAAAAGTCAAAAACAGTATATCTAGCCCTTTGTATTTGGATGTCCTCTCTCAGGGGACATAAAAAGAGTACTGGTGATAATGCAGGACAAACTTATAGCAGCACAAATTTTTCAAAAATGTATGTTTCCTTTGTTGGGCACAGTGGCTCATGCCTGTAATCCTAGCGCTTTGGGAGGTAGAGGCGCGAGGATTGCCTAAGCCCAAATGTTCGAGACCAGCCTGGGCAAGACCTCATCTCTATAGTAAATCAAAAAAATTAGCTGGGCTTGGTGATCCGTGCCTGTGGTTCCAGCTACTTGGAAGGCTGAGGCGGAAGGATTGCCTGAACCCAGCAGGTTGAAGCTGCAGTGGCTGTGTTTGTGCCACTGCACTCCAGCCTGGGTGACAGTGAGACATCGAATTAAATACATATACATTTCCTTGAAGTTTTTCATTCAAATTGCATGAAAAAGCAAATAAAGAGATGCAACATATACTGAAATATGATTGATCAGTTGAGAAAGGGTTTTCAGAAATCATGTGTATGTCTTTCCACATCATCTTCACACAACAGACTGGAGAATAAATTCCATATTAATGTGAGAGGATGAAAATGAGACTGCATTATCTGCTCAAATAGAAAAACACCAGGTGGAAGACTTCAAATTACTATTGCACAGCATGCATCAATGAACCCGAAATACATGTCAGTTACTGTTTCACATATTCCCATGTGTTAGAAAAATACAGGATATGAAATTTTGATTTTTTTGTCATAAGTTTCTTAATGTCCAAAATTTCATTGTAAGCCAAATATTATAATAAAATAATTCATTTTCTACCATTTTGTAAAAAAAGTGTGGTTGAATCCTGGTAGGTGATCCACAAGATGTCTCTGAGTGCAAAGGGCTAGTATGTTCCCACTTATTGGTAAGGGTGTGTGTGTTTGTATGCTTTAAAATATATATGAACATTTAGGAGAAAGATCTGGAAAGATATACAGCAAATTGTTAACAGTGTTTATCCTAATAATGGTATTTAAAGGGTGTTTGCTTTTTACTTTGCTTTTTATTGTTTTCTTTTTTGTCACAGGTTTTCAGAATTTAGAAGATACAAAAAATGTATGCATGGAAATGCTTCCTTTTATCCCCAGCTATTCAACTGTCCTCCCGTCTTTTTATCCATCTTGAAATGTTTTATGTCTATGCTTCTTTATTGTTGGAATTTTTTCTTAAGAGAATAGAAATCAGCCCTTCAGGGAATTATAATTATCATTATTATGTACATTATTGAAAATCTGGCAAACAACTTTACACAATTTATGCTTGTTAAACTTAAGTATAAATCCTCCCCCACCCCACCCCCCAATTTAAAAAAAACAGCTATTCTTGATTTTTGCCAACAGTGTTAAATACCTTGTTCCTTAAAAGTGTGATCCTTGGTCAAGTATCACAAACATCACCTGGGAACTTGTTTAAAATGCAAAATCTCAGGCCCTACCTAACCCATGAGTACTAAATGAGGATCTGCATTTTAACAAGATCTTCGGGGGATTTGTGGGCATGTCACAATTTGAGAAGCACAGTTTTATTAGTGTTTCTGAAGACCTTAGTATTATCTGCTGTTTCTCTTCTTTGAAATGTAGTGAAATCCTGATAGTGCGGGATACATTTTGGAAGAGAATACGTAGAGCAGATGTTCCTAAATGCTGGGCTATTTGCATCATATTTACTTGGAAGCTATTTTATGTAAGACTACTGTTTCTCTTGGAACCAGCGTTGGGGCCTGAGTAACTGATTTTTTTTTTTTTTTTTTAAGTTTCTCAGTTGATTATAATACATAGTACATTTGGGATCACTGTATAGAGCCCTTCTGATGTGAATATACTTCTCTGGACTGTATCTAACACCCTAAAACAGAAAAACCACATCATTCTTGAATATCAAGTAATGAGTGTATGCTTTCATTCCTGATGTTGAATAGCTGGTTTGAGTGGGAGCAGATATAGGTTGGGTCAAGTGTGAATGATGTAGCAACTGTTAATGCTGTCCTGGATTGGGTATTATTTGGTACATATTAACCTATTGACATGTTAATCACATTTCTGGAGACATTTTCTTTTTTCTTTCTTCTCTCTTTTAATGCTTTTATTTTAAAGATGGGTACAATTCAAAGTTAAATATGCAGTTGTTCATTATGCAGTTACCCTTGTTGGTGAGGTGTGCCTCCCTGCCCCAGCAAATTCCCACTACTGCCAATCCTGCCTCCCCCTCCATCCTGGCAGTTTCCTGCTACTGCCAATTCTGGAGACATTTTCTACAAATTAATTGAGGAACTCTTTCCTGAGTGGGCTGAAGCTTTAATATTCAGCTTCCTTCTTTCTGATTGGAATTGTATTACTATAAAAAGATAACTTTAGCACCAGTTTTTGCATTAATCTTATTACTAACCTGAGTGATACTTAAATATAGAACTTTAAGCACTCTGACTCTATTAATAGATGAAGTCATTAGATTTAAGTCATTAGATTAAAATTGAACAACAAAATGAGCGTAATGGGGATATTTTAAACAAAGTAGATATGTGCAATATTATTTTGATTCTTTTCTAGCCGTGTAACTTTATACATTTGGCAGCATAGCTGTGTTTCTTGGGGTTTGTCATAATCTATATTAAAAGTAACCTGAGAAACTTTGAAATCTCAGCTATAATCTAGCTGGTTACAGTGATGTTTTTTAATGTATTATGAGTAATACTGATTTCATTTTTCATAGGCTCAAAGTCTAACTCCCCAGGACTACAATCTGAGGTGGTCGGGCCTTTTGGTGACAGTGGGTGAAGTCCTGGAAAAGAGTTTACTAAATGTCAGCCGGACTGATTGGCACATGGCTTTTACTGGCATGTCTCGTCGACAGATGATCTACAGTGCAGCCAAAGCAATAGCAGGCATGTATAAACAACGCCTGCCACCCAGGACCATGTGAGAGAAGAATTGCCTAGGAGACTGAGAATTTCCCTCACTTTTAGCTTCATGTTAAAGAAGAGGATATACCTTCTTAATCTGAATAACTTCGATGAACCCAGCAGTTTTTATACTTTTCCTGAAGGCTGCAGTTTGTCTTTTTCTAGAAAGGCATGGTGTCATTCCAATAGATGAAAAGAAACAAACTTTGTTTATATTCATATTGTTTCACATGTCATAGTTCTCAGAAAAGAAAATATACAAATATATTTATAGCAGAATTTAATATACCAAATTTATAAGGTGGAAATTCATGTGAAAAGACATTTAACTTAATAATACGTACTTGATTGCTTTGTTTTTAAAAAAGACATTGCTAAAGAACATGTTTATTGACCTCTTTAAAAACATTATTTCTTTTTGCCTGATCTTTTCCCTGTCAGTCTTTGAAGCTTTCTTTGTGTGTACATGCTCTCAGGTCCACTTGCAGACACCTACTAGGGAGATGTTGCTCATTTCTGTACATGTTTTAGCAGTATGGGCCAAAGGAATGGAATCAGCTATTTTCGTTTTTGGTCATCATGTAGGCATATACCTGGAAAATTACATGTTTTTTTGTTTTTTAAAATAATTTTTGAAATTTCACAGATTTATACTATGAACATTGGGGTAGTACATTTTATTTTTTCATTGCTTTATGACAAGTAGGCGGCAGATGACTCAAGTATATTTTAAATCAGAAGTATTCGTGTTATTTTTATATAATACTATTCAGTACTTCCAAGAATAAATTCTGACAGCAACTATTGTTTCTGCTTTCACTCATATTCTCTGAACAATAATAGAGAAATTTTTGAGATGGGATTACATTTTGCTTATGAGATAGTATGCCTCTTTCTTTAATTAAAGTTACTTCTTATTTAGTTTGCCTTAAATACTACCTTTCTAATTTTGTGCCATTCTGCTTTTACTTTTTATGGATGTTTCAAAGAAACTATTTTGTATTCAATCTGGTTTACTTAGTCCATTGTGTTTATATTTACTGAGAGCTTCCCCCGTCAAATAATATATTTTAACGTTTTTGGATTTGTATAAATAATCTTTTTTTTCTTATACTGTTAAACTCTATATATACAAGTTCAAAGAACTTTTTTGAAGACAGTTTCTTACATAAATGTAATTTAATTTTTATTTACTCTTCTATATAGTTCTTTTGATGTAAAAGAATTAGCACAATCTGGCAGTTTTATATAAGGCATTGAAGTTTTTAATCCTGTACTCTCTTTACATATAAGGTTTGCTTTGTATTAATGTTATTTCAAGTAATTATTTGGTTTCTGCTGTTTTTTTACCTGAGGATAAGAAAAATTGAATATTGATTTTGGAACTATTATTATATGTTAATTTCCAAGCACTGTAACTGAGTCATTAAAAGTAATGAAGAGAGAGAAAAGAGGTGTAACAGATTGCTGTGGTGCATTTTGTCCGGGAGTAACAGGCACAGAATACTTTTTTCCCCTCCTTCATGAGTAAGAAAGAAAGTCCTTTCTCTACCATTTCCTTATATCTTTAAAAAGTGATCCTTGTCTAGTAATACTTTATTATGGCAACTGGCCTGATTTTTAAAAGTCATTATGGACTTAAGGAAAATATGCCCGCACTTAGTATATATTTCTGTGACTACCCCTATAGGAAAATTTTACAGTTCCTAAATATATCTGAATTCTTTTTTTGAGTTGTAGTCTCACTCTATCACCCAAGCTGGAGGGCTGGAGTACAGTGGCATGCTCATGGCCACCGCAGCCTCTACCTGTTGGGTTTAGGTGATTCTTCCCCCTCAGCCTTCCAAATAGCTAGAATCAGCTTTCCAAATAGCTAGAACTATAGATGTGCGCTACCATGCTCAGCTTATTTTTTGATTTATTGTAGAGACGAGGTCTCACCAAGTTGCCCAGGCTGGTCTCGAACCCATGGACTCGAGCAATCCTCTCGCCTCAACCTCTCAAAGCTCTGGGATTACAGATTGAGCCACCACGACCGGCCATATTCTTTTTTTAAAAAAAATTGGCCAGGTCTCAGATACCTTATTTGGTGTTTTTGTGGATTGTTGTAATGTAATCGCAAACACTGAGATCTCATTGTTTGATGATTTTCCTAGAATCCTCAAATAACATTGGCAGAGTTATTCCATGACTTGGTTGAAACCAGATAGATATTTCCTTGCCCTGGTCATCTGGTAAACCTTCTGGTCTTTGGAACAGTGTGGGTGGGTGAGGAGGATTAGAGAAGGGCAGATGGAAGACAGAAACTCTCGATCTGGTCTGTCCTCTCTGGTTCTTGTTTGGCCCAGAGTCTTCTTTGAAAGGTGTCAGAGTGTAACCCCCTCATGTCTAGCTTTCGCAGCTGCTTGTTTGTATTTGTTGTCCTTAGATTTCCCTGTTATACAAGGGGCAATAAAAGTAATTCATTATCTCTAGCACACTGTGGCAGCTTAGCCAGGCAGTCTCATGGGTAGTATTCAGGCAGAAATATGCTATCATCAGTTGGAGGCTACTGTTCCCTTTACCAGTGGTCCAGCCCCTGAGCTCTTCTCTCCTTGCCCAGTTCCTTGTGACTCCCACACAGCATTTGTTTGTGTGTGTGCATGGGTGGAGGAGGTGTTTGCTGTTTTTTTTTTCTTTCCCCAGCTTCTTAGGAGAACCCATCTTTAACACAGTTCTTCACCACAGTTGTGGTGGTTTTGTGATTTTTTTTTTCTTCTGAAGAGCTCTTTATAACCCAAATTATTGAATTTTATGAGCGTCTACATATTATTTTAATTAGTGTGAAAACAGAACAAATCCAGGATGAATACTTTAACATCAGGAGTATTTAACAACAATCTCAGTTGACAGAAGGTGCTTAGGTTATTCAGTCCAAGATCCTCCTTTATATAGTTGAGCCAACCCTAGACCTAAACTGTCACAGACTTCTGAAGTTGAAAAAGTTTCCAATGCTAGTAGTTTCCTCTTCCTTTTCTGATTTCGTTATTCCCATTCTTAATTCCTCTTTTTCTTTTCTTTTCTTTTTTTTTTTTAAAGAGACAGAGGCTCACTCTTATCCAGGTTGGAGTGCAGTGGCACAGTCATAGCTCACTGCACCCTTGAATTCCTCGGCTCAAGTGATCCTCCCTCCTCAGCGACGACAAGGCACAGGCTCAGGGGTTTTTTTTGTTTTTTGTTTTTAAAGAAATGGGATTTTGCTATGTTGCCAGGCCAACCGGCGAATGTGTCCTGGCCTCAAGCGGTCCTCCCGCTTTTGCATCCCTAAATGCTGGGAGCACAAACCACCATGCCTGGCTGGCCTCTTTCTCTTGAGGATGAATGAAGCGGACAGTTGATGGATGGATATAGACAAAATGAGTGTATGAGTACAGATGAAAATGTGCTATGTATATCTATTCAAAATTATGCAAATTAGCAATAATTGGGATCGACTAAATTACTTTAATACACTACTCTTCCTTGGCAAGAAAAAAATTAACAAGATTTTACAATTTGTGAAGCTAAATTGATAATACCCTGTTTTAAAATATGTGGGGTTATACATTAATTATTAAAAAATGGCCGGGCACAGTGGCTCACGCCTATAATCTAAGCACTTTGGGAGGTGAGAGGATTGCCTGAGCCCACAGGTTCAAGACCAGCCTGGGCAACTTGGCGAGACCTCATTGCTACAGTAAATAAAAAAATTAACTGGGCGTAGTGGCATGTGCCTGTAATTCCAGCTACTTGGAAGGCTGAGGCGGAAGAATCGCCAGCCCAGCAGGTTGAGGCTGTGGTGGCTGTGAGTGTGCCACTGTACTCCAGCCTGGGCGACAGAGTGAGATTCCAACTCAAAAAAAAGAATCACAGACTTTTACTCCCAGAATATGATGTTCATTTTATGATATTAGGCACGATGATATATTGAGTAAAATTGGTTTTGTAAGTATGTAAATATAAATAAATAATACTTTGGCTTATTTCCAAAGATATATAGTGATTTTTTATGTGAACTTAATATTATATTAGAAGGACCCATATTCCTTTTTTAAAATCTAAATTGGTTACTGGCTGTCAAGAATTCTTGTTGAACAGCAACTTCAAACACCATCTTACAGTTTTTGAACTGTAACATTCAAATATACAAGAGTTGCTATCTTCAAAACCAAAGAACTTAGAGAAGAAGATACATTGGAGATAAAAGTAACAGGCAAGAAGTTAAGGCCAATCAATGCTCATGAGGAAACCTAAACCTTTTGATTACTGGGTTCAGTTTACCCTTGACCTCCAGAAGTGTCTTTTTTTTTTTTTTTTTTAGCTTTATCTTTTTTAGAGTAGTTTGAGGCTCACAGCAAAATTGAGAGGAGAGAAGGTACAGAGATTTCTTGTGTCCCCACCACCCTCACACATGCATAGCCACCCCCATTTTAACATCCCCCACCAAGTGGTCCATTCTTAACAGTTGATAAAACTGCACTGACATATAATCTTTTTGCTGTCTCCATAGTTTTGCCTTTTCCAGAATGTCATGTAATTGGGATTATAGAGTATGTAGCCGTTTCAGATTGGCTTCTTTCATTTAGTAGTATATATTTAAGGATGGCTTCTTTTTAATGCTGAATAATAGTCTCTTTATTCACAAATTACTTATCCATTCACCTACTGAAGGACATCTTGGTTGTGTCCAAGTTTTGGCAATTATGAATAAAGCTATAAACCACTGTGTGCAAGTATTTACGTGGATTAAGTTTTAACTAATTTGGCGTACTTACTGGCTGAAAACTCCCTCGTAGACTGCTGTGTGGGCTGGTCATAGTCATGATGCAAGAGCTCCTTTGGGACTGTTTTTGCACACACCTTTCTTATGCCAAGATTTTCAGTTAAAATTTTCACCTACTGGACATCTGCTATTCTCATAGTCAGCTGAAAATATTGGCACGCAATTTGACAAATTTTTGCAACGTTTTTGTCAGTTCTGTTTGTTATTGGTTGTCCAGACCTCTCTCAATCAGTGATGCTTTCTCTCCCCTTAGAAAAATGTTTAATCCATTTGTACACTGCTGTTTTCTTCATGGTATTATCCCCATAAACTTGGACTAACATGTCTCTGATTTCACTTCCACTCTTACCAAGTTTAATAAGAAATTTAATGTTTGTTGCTCTAATTCAAGCTCTGACATTCTTGTAATGGCACACAAAAGCATGCAGCAATAATGAACGCCACTCAGCAAGACACCGCCACATATCAACAAAACACAGTTGTGAGACACTGATACACCAAGGTTTTAAAACCTTACTGAGTTGTGTGTTCAGTGCTGCCAACACAAGCACATGGTGGCAAGTTCATGAACTTAATTGCCAAAGCTTGTATAGTACCTTTTCTCTTTTTTTCTTTTTAGTTTTATATTCTTTATTTTTTTATTTTAAAGATGTGGAGTACAATTTGGGGTTAGGTATACAAATGTTAATTCTGCAGGTACCCTTATTGATGAGGTGTGCCACTCTCTCACCTGGCAATATCCCTCAACTGCCAAACCCACCCCCCTCCCCTGGCAGTTTCCCACTACTGCCAATCACTTTCTTATAGTATTATGATTACTGTTCAAGGTCCGCTTAAGAGTGAGAACATATGGTACTCTGTTCTTTGTTTCTGTGATAGATCACTGAGTATAATCAACTCTAAATCCATCCAAGTTGCTGTGAAGTCCACATTTGTCCTTCTTTATGACTGCATAAAATTACATTGTGTATATGTACCACATTTTTTATGCAGTCCAGCTTTGACAGGCAGCATAGTTGGCTCCATGTTTTTGCTATTGTGAATAGATGCAACAAACATGTGTGTGCCTGTATCTTTTGGCAGAATGATTTGAGTTCCTCCGAGTATATTCCCAATAGGGGGATTACTCGGTCATATGGAAGGTGAATTTCTAGTTCTTTCAGAAATTGTCACACTGTCTTCCAAAGAGGTTGAATTAGTTTGCATTCCACCAGTAGTGTAGAAGCATTCCTTTTTCTCTGCATCCTTGCCAGCATCTATTGCTGTTTTATTAATAATGGCCTATCTTACTGGAGTTAGGTGGTATTTCAATGCGACTTTGATTTGCATTTCTCTGATGATTAGTGAGGTTGAGCACCTTTTCATGTGTCTGCTGACTGTCTATATATCTTCTTTTGAGAAGTGTCTATTTATGTCTTTTGCCCACTTTTTAATGGGGCTGTTTGTTGTCTTATTTTTGGCGAGTTTGAATTCCTTGTAGATCCTAGATGTTAGTTAGGCCTTTGTCATATATACAGTTGGCAAATATTTTTTGCCATTCTGTGGGCTGTCTCCCTGCTCTCTTGATGGTTTCTTTTACTTTGCAGAAGCTCGTCAGTTTGATGAGGTCCCACTTGTCTATCTTATTTCTTATGGTATGGGCAATTAGGGTTTT